ATAATGGTTTCCCTGAAGCGGAAGGGAAAGTGAGCATGCGATATGAAAGAGACGGAGAGATGCTTTGCTTTTAAAGGGTTTACTTGGCCTGACTTCTTTTTTTTCCCTTTTTTTTTTTTAAATTTTTAATTTTTAATTCTTATATTTTTGGCCACATTGTAAGGAGTGCCACAGATTGCCACACACATAATTAAGATAACGAAAATTCTCATGTATTTCACCTAATTATGGCCTTAAAACTCTTTGGTCATAAATTTTATGACGCCATAGTTACGATTTGTTATATATATATATATATATAATCATTAGTGTTGTCCGTATTTAAAGTACGGTTAAAATAGATATTTGAGATTAAAAATATAGTGGTAAATTTGTACGTATCATATAAAATTTATTAGAGTCTGTCATAGTACCTGATAAAAGTTCATATTGTATATATATCATATTGGAATCATTATATAATATATATACATCATAATCATAATAAAATAAGAAATTTAAAAAATAATTTAACTCCTATCTAGTATTGGTTAAATTTGAAACAGTTAGTATAAAAAGTCAAAAAATTAACAAAAAAAACCAACCCATTCTTTTCTCAACCCACAAAAAATAAACCTATCCAACACAAAAAATGTATGCTTCTTTTCTTCTTCCAATTTCCATTTTTTTTTTTTTAAAAAAAAAACACCCTCTGTTTCGTTATGTAAAATTAGAATTCTCTACTCAGAAAGACTCACTTCAGTCTTCGTTCCAATGATTTTATCAATCAAAAGTTTTTCAAAACCATAGAAAATCAACACCTATTTCCCATTAAAGAATCAAGCTCATTTCATAAATCAAAACCATGTGAGAAATCAAACATTTCAAATTAATTTTATAAATACATATTAGATTGGGATCAAAATGCATAGAAATAAAGCAGAACTCATTGGATACAAATGAAAGCACAATCAAAGTAAAGCAGAAATCACAGTACACAGCAAAGGTCCAATAATTCAAACCTTGGTGCCAAAAGGTCCAATTGGATAATTCATCTCCAGAACATTCCTTCCCTAAATGAAAGAATTGGATTAAATTCGGATTCAATTCTCTCTCAAACTATCAAATGTATATGGTATTACACATACGTATCAGACACATGAATTGAACTGAATAAACAATAGGATACCTCAAGTTCGGCCTAAAGTTCTTCACGCTCATGACCTGTAGCAATTGGCATAACATCTACAACTGTCTTCTTCCCCTTCAGAATAATATCTGCCATTCATCAACAACTAAATGATATTTCGAATCCTTACTCTTCTTTTTTCATCAAATTCAATCCTTACTCTTCTTGGTTAAAAACTTAATTTGATAGGAGTACTCCAATCCTTACTATTTTTCTCTTCTTTTTTTTTTCCAGCAAATTTTTTTGAAAAATTCCAAACTTATCCTAAAATCAGCTTTAACCATTTTTAATAAAAGAAAATCATCCTCAATCCTTACTCTTTTATAAATTAAAACCATCTTAAAACCTATTTCAAAACCATCTTCAAAACCCATTTCAAAACCATCTTGAAAACCATCAGTAACCATAATCGTATCTATATATAAAAGAGTTGATTCAATATTTGTAACATCTGTATTCTCAATATTTGCATTGTCCCTAATCATATATAACCAAATGTCATGTGGACTTGCAGTTCAATTTTCAAGTTTTGGCCCAAAAACATAAAACTGATACACTAATATGGAACCAATTAAGGCCAAAAATAAGTTGCCCACAGCAGAAGTTATTAAATGGGAAGACTTGCAACTTATTATGATTATACCACATGTAAACAGATACATATAATTGTTTTACATATTTGATAATACATAAAATGAATACTTAAATCTGTTCATTAACATGCTCAGATAGTGCACATTTATACACACTTATCAAAAGAAACACCACCAAAAAAATGTCAATTCTGTTTATTACTATCAACGGTGGCAGCAATGACTTCCATTTTCTTAAATAACCTATACCCCACAATAAAAAAAAATGCTTAGGAATGTGGCAAAGCAGCTTTAAAGATTCAAATGACATGAAAATTGCATGTTAGAGCAACTCTAATGGTGTGCTTCCCCTCCACGCGAAAGCCAAAATTTGGCAATAACACTTCCAATTCATGTGCTATTTTTTGGTGCCAAATTATAACAATGCCAAAATTTGGCAAGAGCTCATCTCTCTATTCTCTAATGACAGAACCCTATTTGTCAACAAAGCCATTGTGATATAAACTAATTGTTATTGTTGTTGTAGTTCTTTTTCAAAGCTAATTGTTGAAGTGTAAGGAAAATTCATCTAAATATAGCTGAACAAACATTAATTAACATGAATTTCAACAAATTCAATTCAAAAAACATGAAAATGACACCACATTTTCAACTCAAATTAGACAGTAAAATAATAAAGAAGTGAGTGAAAACAGTGTACATGGCAATTTATTAGTTGAAGAATTTTGATGGGTGTTTCCATCTTTGGGTTTGAAGAACCCTCCTAAATCCATCTTCCTTAACAATTTTTAGAGAGAGAGAGAGAGAGAGGAGAGAGAAGAAAATGCCTAAATTTAAAGGGCGACCAACGCCGATACATAATCATACATCAATCTCTGAAATTATATACAAACATCCGTAAATAATACACACAATCGTATCTAATACACACAAATGCATATATATACATACATCCATATAATACGCACAATCTATATATAAAATACACACAAATGCATATACATACATACATCCATCTCTGAATCTCTCACATCTCTGATCTCTTTTGCAATGGCTTCGTTAATATTGAAGGGGGTTTGGGGCTGCCACTGTTGATGACGATTGTGATGGCAGAGACAGAGAGAGGGAGGAAGGAAGGGAGAAGATGAAGAGACTAATAGGGGGTTTGGGGTTCGGTCGCCAGCGTTGGGCTCTGACAGGGAAGCACGTCCGATGGAGGTAGAGAGAGAGAGGGGGGTTGTGTTCAAAATTTGAAATCAGAAAGAAAGAGATGAGAGTGTCTGTGAGAGAGAGGTGTGCGCAGAAAATGGTCCATATTTTGGACCAAATAGAGAGAGAGACATTGTGAGCCATTGGATTGAATTCAATCTAATGATCTATATTTTGACAAAGGGATAAAAGTCACATCTGAATTCAAAACCTGAGCTTCCTTGTTATATAGATATTATAGTATTAATTATGATTCATTATATCTAATTATCACATTTGAGCCCTTTCATCATAATTTATTAACGTGCTAGTTACGATTTGGTTATATATATATATATATATATATTGTTATATTAATTATGACTTATTGTGATGTTGGTTATGATATTGTTTTTATTATGATTGATTTTTTTTTTATTATACATTGTATGTTGTTTAGTTATAACTTTTCTTTTTCTTTTTTTAGTTAAGACTTTAATAAGATTGAGTTATGATTGTCATAACTTGTATATGATGTGTATCATAGCATTACCCAATATATAAATATGAAATAACAAAATAACAAGTGAAACACAAATATAAGGAAAAAGATTTTTACAGAAGATTACCCCTCTCATTATATGAAAATCATTGGGACATTTAGTGATAGATCACTCACTGTCTAATTTGTCTTTTAAAAGGACAAGAATTGCATTGCTAACATTTAAGTCTGTGGAACAGATGAAGGAATGGAAAGTAAGATTGGAGGAATAGGTATATGAGTGGTGTACATCAATGGAGGAATGGGAAAATGGGAGAATGGTTGAAAGTGAAAAGTGTGTTTGGTTATTTTGTTTTGGCATACCTTTTAATCTATGGAATAGAAGAACTTTTAATGACATTGGGAGAGTTTGGGGCGATGTAGTTCGGTTGGATGAGGATACAAGCAACCTAGTTTCCTTTCAATGACGTAAAATAAGGATAATCACAAAAAGCAGAGAGTTTATCAACAAAGTGGTAACACTTGAATACAAAGGGAATTATTATCCAGTTCGAGTGTGTGAAGAGATAAGTTTCCCATTAGGGATAAACACAGGCTGGACAATACTCAGCTTAATGGGGCTACAAATTCACATTCCGGCAGTAGGCAGGATATGGTGTCCGGCACCATTATAGGGTGGAAGGAATTGGTCAAGGAAGGTGAAGGTGGTGATGATGTGTTACTTAGTGCTGAAGTGACAAGCAGGGCTAAAGACACATTGGAGAGGGGAAACTCAATAGGTAGGGGCTCTGGCTGTGATGGAATAATGAGGTCTGTGAAAAATTCAAGAGAGAAGGTGGTTGGGAGCATTCAAAATGTTGATGCCAATATATTCACATTAGGGTCTATGAAGAGCCTGAAAGGATCTGAAATGGGTCGGCCCAATATTAATTTAGAAATAGTGTTGCAGGGAGCCCAAAGTGTAGCCAATCAAAATAGGCCCAATGGACATTCATGGTCAAATTTGAGTGATTGTGTAGCCCAGACACAGTTCAATCAAGTCGGCTCACAAGCAGCTCAAAAGGATGGAGAGAGGAGCTGTGCACTAGTTCGAAGAAGGGTTCTCAATAGAGTAAAAAGAAATAAGGGGTGTAATAGAGGAGTTGGGTTTAAAGGTAAGACATTGCCTTTACATAGGGGAAGAGTGCTTCCACAAAGCTTTAATAGAGGTGCTATTTTCAGAGCCATTGCAGCAACTTTGTCGAATTCTCTATCAATGAATACTGAGTCCAGTAGAAGAAGTAGAATGATGATTATGGAAGCTAAGGCAACAGTCCAGATGGGGCAGCTACTTGGCATAAATTTTGAAGGCAAAGAAGAAGAAGCTATAAACAAAATTATTCATATGGAAAAACAGGATTTGGAAAGGATTGAAGGCAAGGGAATGGCTGGTGAAACCTAAGTAGCTAATGCAGGGGAGTAGGTGTAATATTTGGTTCCTTATGAAGATAATGACATGGAATGTTAGAGGTCTAACAAGACCAGAAAAAAAAGGAGGAAAATAAAGGCAATGATGAAAGATGGGGGAATAGATGTAGTGCTATTACAAGAAACAAAAAAGAGTAGCATGGATGAAGAGTTCATTAAGCAGATGTGGCCATTTGAAAAGATGGAGTTCATGGGGAAGGATGCAGAAGGTACTACAGGAGGTTTGTTATGCATTTGGAATCCAGATAGATTCAGACTTAAGGAGTGCTGCAGTTCAAGACAGTTTGTTATGCTTTCAGGAATTGTTGGAGTGGATTTTAAATGGACTATAGTCAATATTTATGCCCCAAATAATGTAGTTAAGAGAAGGCAATTGTGGGATGCTCTGGGTAGACTAAAAACCCATTACACTAATCCTTGGTGTGTGGGTGGAGACTTTAATGAGATTAGGTATATTAGTGAAAGAAATGGATGCTCAAGAAAGAATAGAGGCATGACTGATTTTAATGGGTTAATTGATCAGTTAAGTCTAATGGACTTGCCTATGTTGGGAAGAAGTTTCACATGGTGTAATGCTCAAGATGGGGAGAGATGGAGCAGGATAGATAGGTTTCTCTTGGATAGTAGGTGGCTTGAGGAATATTCATTTAAGCAATGGGGACTACCTAGAAATATATCTGACCATTGCCCAATACTGTTAAAGGAAGATGTTAGAAATTGGGGTTCAAAACCAATTAGGTTTATTAATGCTTGGTTACTCCATCCTAAGTTCAAAGTTGAAGTGAAGAGTCTTGGCAGGAAGCTGTTGATCCAGGATAGGCTGGATTCAGACTAAAGAGAAAGTTAGCTAATCTGAGGGCCCATCGAAAGAGATAGAATTCTGAGGTTTTTGGAAATGTGGATGTTCAATTAAAGAGGGCAGAGGAGGAGTATCATGAATTTGATTTTGTAGCTGAATCAAGGACTCTATCTGAGTCTGAAATGGTTAGAAAAAGGGTCGTAAGAAGTCTAGTGTGGAATTTGAGTAGGAGAAAAGAGAGCTTATGGCATCAAAAATCTAGAATTGTGTGGGCTAAATGTGGTGATAAGAATACAAGGTTTTTCCATATGATGGCAAGTTCTAGGGAAAGGAAAAATATGTTGGATTCAGTTGTGGAGAGGGGAGTGAGGTTGGTGGAACCAGATGGGGTTAAACAGGCAGTGTTTAATTACTTTGTAAGAAGATTTACTGAGGAATGGTGTTCAAGGCCTAAACTCTCTGGCATATTTTCATCTGTTAACTCTATGCAGAATGATAATTTGGTAACAGCATTCACGGCGCAAGAGATTTGGGAAGCTATACATGATTGTAATGGGAATAAAGCTCCTGAGCCAGATGGGTTTAACATGGCTTGCATTCAAAAATGCTAGAAGATAATGAAGAGTGAGATTCTGCAGTGCATGACTGAATTTCATAAGAATGGGAAGCTGGTCTCAGGTTTGAATAGTTCTTTTATCACTTTGATACCAAAGAAAGAGAGCCCAAGTGACTTAGGTGATTACAGATCAATCAACCTTATTAGTTCAGTTTATAAAATTTTAGCTAAAGTCTTGTCTAGAAGGCTAAAAGAAATAATGCCATCAATTACTAGTGAAGTCCAGTCAGCGTTTTTTGGGGGAAGGTTTATTCTAGATGGCGTATTAATTGCTAATGAAGTGGTGGATTGGTGGAAATCATCTAGAATGAGAGGAATTATTCTGAAATTGGACTTTGAAAAGGCTTATGATTCAGTAAATTGGGAATTTCTTTTTTCAATGATGATGAATTTTGGTTTTGGGAAAAAATGGGTGAAGTGCATCAAAACATGCATACCAGCAGCTAAGATCTCTATATTGGTAAATGACTCTCCATCTGCTGAATTTATACCTAAAAAAGGGCTTAGGCAAGGTGATCCATTATCACCATTCTGGTTTAACATTGCTGCTGAAGGTTTGAATTTGCTGATTGAAAGGGCAAAGGAGTTGGGTTATTTAAGAGGGGTAACTATAGGGCTTAATGAGTTAAAGGTTTCTCATTTGTAATTTGCAGATGATACTGTTATTTTTTGTGCGGCGGATGGAGTGGAATTGGTCACTATAAAGAGAATCTTAAGGTGTTTTGAGTTAATGCCTGGGTCAAAAATTAACTTCCACAAGAGTATGTGGAGTGGGGTTGGTGTTAATGAGAAGGAGGATATCAAAGATTTTGTCTCAGTTCTGCACTGTCATAGCCAAAAGCTTCCTATTACTTATTTGGGTATACCTCTGGGGGCAAATCCAAGAAGAAAGAGCACTTGGAAACCAGTGATTGAGAAAGTCAAGAAGAAATTGGCTTCATAGAAAGGAAAAATGCTCTCTTTTGCTGGTAGAATCACATTGATTAAGGCAGTTCTATCCAGTCTACCATCATATTTCCTATCAATTTTTAAACTACCTGTGGGTGTGGCTAAGCAGTTAGAGAGGATTCAGGCAGCATTTTTGTGGGGAGATTCTAATACAAAGAAGAAGCTTCACATGGTCAACTGGACAGAGATATCAGTAAGCATTGAGCAAAGGGGTTTAGGGGTAAGAAATCTTGGAGAGGTCAATGATTGTCATTTGCTTAAATGGTGGTGGCAGTTTGGGTTAGAGGATAGAGCTCCATGGAAACAGATTATATGTTGTAAGTATGGTGTGGTATGGGGTAGGTGGATCCCATTTAGGTCTATTACTGTTTCAGTGTCCAGGGTTTGGAGTGATATCCTCAAACTTGTTGATAGAAGACCTGCTATGGTTAAGTTTTATTTATTAAACCTTAAAATATCGGTAGGGAATGAGGGTAGAATTTAGTTTTGGAATGATAAGTGGATGAACATCTTATGCCTAAAGGAGGAGTTTCCTAGATTGTATAGCTTGTCAAAGGAGAAATGTAGCACTGTTCAGCAGATTTACCAGAGGAGGGGTCATTCAAATGAGTGGAACTTAATGTTGAAAAGATCGCCGTTAGCTTGGAAGGAAGATGAGGTACAAAGATTGTATGAGTTGCTTAGGGTAGCACCTAATCTCTCTTTAGAGTCTGAGGATTATTGTTAGTGGGGGGCCAATCCAGAAGGGTCATTTACAGTAGCAACAGCCTGGGAGTGGTGGATGTCTTCAAAAGGTCCAACTCTCACTGTTACTAAGGCTTTGTGGAAAAATCTTGCTCCTTCCAAGGTAAAATTTTGTGGCTTGTTAGCTTGGAGAGGTAGACTTAAAATTGTAGCTGTGTTAAAAAATTTAGGAGTGTTAAATGAGGAATCAGATTCACTCTGTATGTTCTATAAATCAGAGGAGGAGACAGTTCATCATTTGATGTTGTTTTGTCCATTTGCATGGAAGGTGTGGATTGATATGATGAAGTGGTGGGGTTTGGTTTGAATATTACCTAGTTCAATTGAGGATCTATTGCTCTGGTAGTCAGGAGTCAAATTCAGTAAGGTGATTCTTAGATTGTGGAAAATGGTACCTTTAGCTGTTTTGTGGTCATTATGGAAAATAAGGAATGATGGTCTTTTTTGTGGCAAACTAGTAGATTGGATTAAATTTGCAGAGTTGGTGAAGGTAAGGGTAGCCCTTTGGAGTAAATTGAATATTGTGGGGATGCAGTATTCAGTGGAGGAGATAGTCACTAATTTGCATCAGATTATACTGGAATTAGCAGGTTGCCTCTTGGTTGATGTTTTGTGTTGAGCTTCAAAGGCACAGCTACTACTGTTCTGGGAATGTTTGTGGTGTTAGTGTTTCTTCTGGTCTATGAAGAAATGTGTACTTCTGGAGAGCTTCTATGGTATTGCTACTGCCTCTGTTTTTCTATTGTGGGAGCTACTGTGGTATTGCTACTGCCTCTGCATAGCTGCCACTGCCTTTGCTGTTCTGGGAGTGTTTGTGGTCATTACAGGGGTGTTTTTGCAGTTCTTTTTTACAGGAGAGCTTCTGTTGTATTGTTGTTACTACTCTAGTGCTTTGTTGTTGCTTTGTTTTGTTTTTCTTCTTCTTTTTGTGTTGTTTTGATTGGTTCCTCACCAATCTTAGGTTTTGTCCTAGCTTTGTTGTTGTAAGGTGGCATGTTTTCTGCTTTCTTCATCAATAAAGTTGTTTGCTTATCAAAAAAAAAAAGGACAAGAATTATATAGATCTTTTCAAAACCCCATAATATTTTAAAACTTGTTTTATATATATATATATATATATTAGCTCTCATGTAAAGTCATCATCACAGTATATTTCAGAGTAAAATTCTATTTTGAATCCTAGTAAACTTTACTCTGATTCAGAGTAAAATTTTACTCTGAATCAGAGTAAAATTTATTATGATTCAAAGTAAAATTTTATATCGTTAAGCACATATATTGCTTTAGAGGTAAAATTTTACTCTTATTTTATCAAGCAAAAATAGAGTACATAACAGAGTAAAATTTTACTCTCATTTTATCAAACAAAAACAAAGCTTATACTAGAGTAAAATTTTACTCTCATTCTGTCAAACAAAATCAGAGCACGTACCCGTGTAAAATTTTACTCTCATTCTACCAAACAAAAATAGAGGACATACCAATGAAAAAAAATAGAGAAATAGAGAGATAGAGAGAACACATATATTGCCTTAAATCTAGTTCAAACCAGAGTAAAATTTTATTGTCGTAAAAACAAAGCATGATGAGGAGACAAAGAGAAAAAGAGGGAGAGAATATAGATCTGGGATGATAGATCTTAAATCTGAGATCATCAATCTCAGATCTAAAGTCTTAGACACTAAGAATGACGATGGTTGCATCGAATGGCGCTAGTGGTTGAGATGCTAGTGGTGAAACAGTGGCATTGGCGGTGGTAGCGATGACGAACAACATCAATGGTTGAGACAATGTTAGTAGAGACGACGAAGGTGGTGAAAACGATGGTAGTCATGGTAGTTGTAGTAATAGAGAAGGTGATGGTGGTGATGGCAGTGGACAAAGCTCTTAGAAAGAGATAGAGAAAGAAAGAGCTGCGAGAGAGATGACAAATTGATGAAGAAAAAGAGGAGAAAGATAGAGAGTGTGCGTGAAGGGATAAATTTGTCACATAAAATATAAATCTGAATTTTTTTGTCCTTTATACAAGACTTTATAATTATGAGGGGTTTTGAAAGTATATATATATATATATATATATTTTGGTCCTTTTAACAAGAAAAAGAAGGTAAGGGGGGTTTATGGCCAAATTTCCCTTTAATTGTGCAATTAAGTTTATTTATTTATTTATTTATTTCTTTTTAAAGCAAAATGAATTAAGTGCATAAAAGAGTGAGTTCTATGTGTGGGGACTTATTTTTTGATTTGTATCTATGTCTCTTTCTGTTAAAATTACTCGTGCACTTAAATTTTTACATTTTTTTTTCAACAATGAATAAGTTCATAAACATGATATTAATTATAAAATTGAAAACAAAATATAATTAAACAAACCCCTTTTAAAATAAACTACATTAATGAAGATTGTAAGGGAGAAGGATTCCTTCTAGTCTAGATTTTAGATTAGAATGCGTTGGTTGGGTCAGTGGGGCCCACCAGTCTCATTTCGATGATTCAAACCATTTATTTTGTTAGGTATCTTGTATATCTCATCCACAAAAAAATTAGGTCGATCTGATAATTATAATTTGTTCAATTATTCACTAAAAAAGTAGACAACAATTATGCTTTTAAAAATAATCATACATTTTTTTTAGTAACAAACGTAATAAATTGAACAAGTTATAGTTATTGGATTGACCTAATTTTGTGTGTGGATAAAATACACGAAATGTTTGATAAAATGAAC